AAACTTCACAATTTTTTTCGCGGCTTGCGTTGCATATTCTTCTTCTTCATAATTTCTTATAAATAATAATCGAATTTCTTCAATATGTTCATTCCTTTTGACAATAAGAAAAACAAATGAAAATCACACATTATCCTAATTTGAATTTTTAATAATACCGAAACCAGCCAGATATAAATGGTATAGCCAAAAATATTTATTTACAAGTTTATGACGCATAATACTAGTCAATAAATTCTTTTACTGGCTGTTTACATACATAAAAAAGAAAAATTAATTTGAATTTCGAACATTAGCTTCCACGATAAAAAAAGACTCCTTTCCCGCCATTATTGTATGTTTTTTCTTTAGAAATTATTTGATTTGAAAATGGAGTGGGGCACTAAAGAGAATAAAATTGCAGTAATTGCACTATACAAAGTAGGTAAGGAGCCAGCCGACATTTTTTTATACATTGAAAAAGCTAGGGATTAGCCGAATGTTTGTGAATCGTACTATCGAAAGGTTCTCTACACAAAAGCATTTTCCAATATGGAAAATTCTTTGAACTAAAAAAAAAATATTCAATATTTAGCGACTAAACCAATTTTTGGGTCATTCAAAAATTGTAAAAAATCACATTTAGGAAATAAGTTAATGTTACTTTATTTACATTGAAATACTCCCACACCTCAAGAGAATAGCAACTGAAATGTTGCATTAGATGCTAATGTTCCCGGTTAGGGAAAATCCTTTATAATAATACTGTAATTAAAGCTATTTAATCTTTAAAACCCAAGTGTTGAATTGTAATTTACTAAGTACTAGCTTTCCGCCCGCGGCTTCACCCGCGTGGAATTCGGTTACTATCGCCTTAAATTATTTATATATCCTTACTATGTCCGTCTAGTTTATCTGTGTTACAAATGTAATTATAATTGGAATAGTAGTTTAGACGTGAAAACGTAACAGACACACACACAGAGCTACTTTCGCATTTATATTAGTATGGATATTTTAAATTTTAATCTAAGTCTAAAGTTTACGAAAATTTTTTAAAACAGACGATGGTGCGATATACAATGTACTTAATACAATCTAGAACCTTATATTCTTACAACATTTTAATTTCAAACTAACATATAAGTAAATTTCTTTAACAGAAAATACGGTGACTAGAATTAATTTAACGCTAACTGAACATTTTCAAATATTGAAATTTAAATATTTTTTTTTTATATTAATTCTCAAAACACTTTTCTTCGCTATACAATAATATATTTATAAATAATCTATACTAATGATAAATCTGAAGAGTTTATTTGTTTGACTGAACTCTATAATCTCAGGAACTCCTGGAACGTATCGATATTTTTGTGTTGAATAGTCTATTTATCGAGAAAGGCTATATAACATCACTCTATGCCTTATAGGAGTGAAGCAGCAATGAAAAGAGAAGTGTATTACGAAAATGATCCCCTTCAAAAGTTCTAAAAAAATTCCGCGGCAGTATATGTCTATCTTATATCGTATCACGAAAAAAAAGCATATACAAAGTGATCAAAATAGCTCTTTACGCTAGATTAAATAATGTTTTAATTAATTCAAATCGGCACAATCGTTGTCGCTAATATTAAATGCATATGTTATGTTTATTAAGTACACGAAAATGTTACATTTAGCTCAGCTACTGATCACTAGAAGACGCTACTATACTCTTAAAACAGGATTTTGGTTTTTGTTATGGTTGTAATCTTTATTTTTTCCGATTATTATAAAACAAAGTAGCTTTCGTTTTCAATTTTGCGATCGGTCGGTTTTTTAATAATATACTTTAGTCGAGACTTATTCATTTGACAACAAAATAATATATGGGTAACTATTAACAAGATACTTTAATACTTAACTGAGTGGCATTAATTATGTACTTAAATTTCAATAATTATGAATAACGATAAATAAAAAATAATTGAAATGAGCTACTGTTAGAAGGAAACAATTTTATCTAAAATAGCAAATAAAATTCAAAGTACTTAGAGTTAAAAATAAAATTAGGTAAAAATAAATATTGAGTAGATACCTACAAATTGAAGAGATGACGACAAAGTAAAGTAACCTCGGACCACGTGGGCAAAGCCGCGGGTTACAGTTAGTATTAGATACACTTTGAAAATGAAAATGTACATCTCGTTAAATAACTTTTCCGTAGGCGTTATATTCGTATCTCTTAAGATTTAGTTGGGCTTCTGGGGCTCCACAACAGTTGTTTTTGATCTTCGATTTTTATACATCAATAGAAAATGTTCATTATGATGAGAAGGTTTAGTAGGGTGCTTGGGTTTGACAAAAGTTCTCCAGACTTTCCTAAGATGTTTTATTATATATCTTAAGGTTTAGCTTGGCTGCTAAGATTCCACATCAAATATTTAGATCTTAAAAATAATTTATAGCCTATATGTTGCCTAGAAATAATATCTATACAACAAAAATGTTTTATCAAAATCCGCCCATAGTCTGTGTGAAAGACACATGACTGTATGAAATATTTAAAAGATCATATTTTCTGCATCTGTTTGCTTATTTTAAAACCGCTAGAAGCATTTTTTTTTACATTCAATGTACAGACTTATTGACCGTGAGTGTCATGCTATGTCTAGTGAATCTGAGACATTTACTCAGAGACCGGCTCACAGCCAACTGTGAGCACCATGCTATATCTCATGAGTGTGCTCTAGCACTACTACTTGCCAAGTCTATATTGTACTTCAGTTACATATTCTAGGATCCATAAAAGGATGAGTTTTTGTTTAGGAAAAAAAGGGTGCGTATTTTTGTGATTGCGAAAATAACAATGTCCATGTGTGTGTCTGTGTGTGTGTGTGAGTGAGTTACGTTTTTACCAATGTTAATGAAATTTGATACACCGATAGAGTGGATATTAGGAAAGTATATAGGATAGTTTTATTGCGAAAAATAGGCTTTAAGGAGTTGAACCGAATTCCACGCGGGCGAAGCCGTGGATGGAAGGTAACTTTGTAATATATTTTTCTTTGCGGTCTGTTAAAAGCATTCGACTGCGTTAATCATGACACACTGTTTGGGAAATTAGAGCATTATGGTGTGACGAAAAATTCACTTAATCTAATAAAATCATATCTTTCTGCTAGAATTCAAGAAGTAGTCATTAATGAAGCGAAATCTGCAGGGGCACCCATTACTATGGGCGTGCCTTAGGGATCAGTATTAGGACCATTGCTTTTTCTAATTTAGATTAATGTTCTTCCTCACTTTACGAATAATTTTTGCGAGACAGTATGATTTGCTGATGACACTTCTTTAGTGTTTAAAGTTAAGAGGGGTAATAATTGTTTTGACGATGTAAATGATGCTCTCGTCAATGTTCTACAGTGATTTGATAATAATAATTTAAAGCTTAATTCAAATAAAACGAAATGCATATAGTTTGCATTACCTAATATGAGGCATGTTAGTACAGTTATAAATGTAAATAGTGAAAATGTTGAGTTGGTGGAATCGACAAAGTTCCTTGGTATTACACTAGATTCCTGTCTGCAATGGGATCCGCATATTGATAGCAATGAGATCTTTACAAATTTTGAAATGGCAAGATTGGTTATTGGTATTGGTATATTTTAGTTATTTTCATAGTGTAAAGACGTATGGTCTATTGTTGTTGGGTTCTGCGGCTAACATTCAAGATATTTTTATTCTACAAAAGAGAGCTATCCGCGCTATAGGTATATAATTTACGGTCTAGAGAATCTGTCAGAGAAATATTTAAACAAATAAATATTTTGACTATTGCATCTCAATACATCTATGAAAATATTATGTACGCAAGAAAACATTACAATTCCTTCACAAAAAAAGTAGTGTTCACAATCTTAACACAAGAAATAAAAATCAACTTGACATTCAAGGCTTAGTCTTCAGAAAACCAGAGGATCATTTCTGGGTAAATGCATTGCTATGTTCAATAAAGTTACACAAAATGTATTTGACCTACCCATAAATAAATTTAAAATAGCCTTTGCTTTGTTACGACTAATTATATGTACAACCTATGACCTACGGACTTTGAAAGTTGTATTTATTATTGTGATAATACATATCATTTTGGTAGTGACATGATTTATGTAAATGTCATTACTTATGATAAAGAGCTGGTAAGTTTCTTTGGCTTGTTCTTCTTGTCAGCTAAAAGACGTCCTGAATAAGTGGTAAGTGGAACGTGGAACAAGGGGAATAAATTTGTTTGGCCGTTTCAAAAGTGGTTGTAATAAGCCTACTTGAATAAAGATATTTTCATTTCATTTCATTTGTTTTATTATACTACTATTTTCGGGATGGCATCCCATCGCGGGATACCTGGGTTTAGCAGATTTTTTAGCATTTTTCATTAAAATATTTATTAGTATAACATCGTGAATGCAAAATTGATCAAATATATCGAAATCGCTAATTCGATTTCGATAAAATTCATAGGTATGATATTATAAATAACGGAATTACATATTCATAAAAAAATCAGTCAATAACGGAAGAATCGGTAAATATACATAAAAACTTAGTAAAACAAAAAAAAAACTTAAAACTGGCATAATTAAATAGTTCTGCGTATGTAAATAAATATTTAAAAAAATCTAAATTTAATAGTTTTATATAATAAACGTAATATTATATAAAACTATTAAATTTAAGAAAATATAAGAAATTTAAAACAACCCAAATATATAAAATATAATTAATAAAACAGCACAACCCGCCAGCGCAAGCAAGCTATCGCCCGCAACTTTTTTGCACGCAGTACTTGGCCGCAACTTCTTTCTAGCCAGGTATCATATTAACTCGAACGAATAGTATATTATGTTAATTTTCTATTTTTCTATTTACATTCCTAGTATGGCAATGCCAACTATTAAAAGATAAATTGGGTGATTAAAGTTATTATTTGGAGGGTTCAATTAGGAGGTGAATAGAAAATAAAAATACAATGTTCTACAAAGCGACTTTTTATCAATACAAAAATAACATCAATAAATAAATAATATAAAAGCACAATAATTACATATTGTATTAATTTACACGATGGATTGATTTCACCAAAAGTCGTCTATCAAAAAAGAATACAACAATCTTTTTTTTAGAAAAGCTTTTAATACTATAAATACTGTTTCTGAAAATACTAAGTACCTAAAGTCATTAATAATGAACAATATTACAAAAGAAAGTTTCGATGTTGTAGATTATTTTTCGACAGACTTATTTTGTATGAAGTAGTTTTAATACATAAGTACATTTTATGCCGAAACGTCTACTTAATATTATTTGAATGAAATTACATGAATTTATTCAGTACAGTGCTTTGTTAATGTTCACAAAAATGAGCTAAAAGCTCTATGTCCCATTTTAAAAATACAATATGGCAATATTTATGGCAAAATGCGTTGTCAAAACGTTAGGTAAGTTAAAGCTTTCCAATAGGCACATCTATATTAAATATATTTTATTAATACAATTTAAATACTTTCTCGTGACAAAAAGTCAAGTTAATAAAAAGTAATTGTACAAAATAGATTTCGTTGAACTAGTTTTCAAAGCGTTACCTAATTGTCTATGAATTTTCGTTATTCACATATTTATTCGTTATTTGTTATATTGCTGGGAAATAAAAAAATCTTCTTATTAAAAAATCCACTTTGTCCCTGGCATTCTGAGCTGTCACTGGGATGGGACGGTCCCATCCCAGAAACAAAGTGAATTTTTGAAGAATTTTTCAATAACAATGTATTCCGTAATAGATTTTTTTTATTACATTTGATCAAAATTGATCAAATATAATAAAAAATCCATTAAATCGATGATATTAAAAAACCAATTAAAAGAGTTTACTTCCAATCACTATACCTCGATCCACTAAAATCATACTATAGGAACCCATGCATCAGTACACGATCTCCGAAGTGATCTCCGTCCCAGTACAGCTGGACGCAAAAATAAATTATTCACGATCTTTGAGATGTCGAACGATCTTAAATTACTCACTGTATCAGATAATTCAATTCTATATTATTATTAATTATTGTTTAAGTACACTCACTAAACACGCACAAAGGAGTAACATTCATGCAAAAGGAAATTTTACTTATAAAGAATATTTAATTAGTTAAAAGTAAATAGCGAATAGATTTGTAAAGGAAAATTACCATACAGTAGCTAACGTTGAAAGATAAAGTACAGCAGTCTATAAATGCATTATATACCTTCTATGTGTTAAATTTAAACATTTGCGTCATTATTTAAATAGATACCTAGCTTATGAATAATAATAAATAAAATCTTAAGGCACAGTTTAAGGTACCATGATCACAATTTCATGAATTCTAATGCTTACGATAGTAAATAAGATCATAGAAATAAAACGGAATGTCTAGAACTCTAGTTACACTCAGTTTATTGGAGAGGAACGAATGGAGAGAATACTGTTACACTTAGGGAAGCTCTTCAGACTAAAAACCATTCGGATTAGCTAATACCTATAAATACCTTTTTATACAGTTACTTAAAAAACATAAGCGCATACATTTAAGTATTTCTGCATTGTGCAGAATAACAATACCGACACAATTTACAAATATTCATACTTTAACTAAATAATGTGCAAAATTTGCAAATATGGTCTTATAACTACTTAATAAATAATTTCTGGGTTTTTATAAGTAGGTGAATCGTTGTCCACGCAATTCACGGAATCCATATAGTTCATCGGTCGGTTCGCAATATTATTTACACATACTGTTATATACACGTCCATACTGTGCACGTCCCGCGCGCGATTTATAATCCATTCACTTATTTAACGGTATTTGTACGATGTGGGTAGTACGAGGTCACCCAAGGAGTACATGGCGCTGGCATACCAGTGCACGCCACGAGATTCTTCTTCGGAGCTCCACGACGACATCCACCTTAGAGGCGCCATAGCTGCGTGTGCAAGAGACTGACTCCGCACAATGGCGTAGCACGAGGCTAAGGCATCGTCTACAATAATGGTACCGGACTTAGTCATGGGTGCGTACACGCCACGTTTCATGACTACACGTGTGTGGATGACGCGTGAGGGACGCATGACACTGCCCGGTCCTCTGGTGAGTAACACGTCACCAATGTCCACGTTCGCCGCGAACACCTCCCGCCAACCGTCCGCCGCTGCCAGCAGCAACAGATGTGACGGCGTCGCTGTGATTGTTACTCCATTTTCTGCTGTCACTTGGATGAACTCCCGAGTTGTGTTCGGTTCTCGATCGAGGAACGTTAATACCTGGAAGTTGAAGATATGTTTTAAATGGGTAGGTATGTCTTTAACAAGTCAACATATTACTCTCGTTAAATGAAAAAGTTGGATTCTACAATACCTTTACATCACCCTAACGTCAAGTTTAAATTAATAAAAAATTATATAATTTTTTTGATGTTGGTTTTACATAACCTTTATTTTTACTCAAAGATATTTAAGTTAATCTCTCTGCAGATTGTGATACTGATGCAAAGGCTTTTGGTTACGTAACAGATAACAAAATAACTACAAATATATTTTAAATACCTCTGAATATACAAGCTTGCCCGTATCATCAGAAGCTAGGACTCTATCTCCTTTCTTGATAGTGGCAATATCCTGTGGGCCATTTTCTGTGTGCACAAGAGCGCCAGAAGGGAAACATCCGGCGCCAGTACCAACCGATGACTCTGGAAATTAAACAAAAGTCAACATCAATATAAAGTATCCCATTACACAAGAATGGTAAATCAACTCGCCAGTATAATCCTTCGAGCAATATACAGTATAAATCAGTTATTGAACATGGAGTTATTGAATTAAATCGTCCGTAAAATATTAAATGTAAAGACCATGCATCAAACGGACATAATACGTGCGTGTCGTACGTACATAAAGTCCAACCGAAGGCAATAAAATAAAGTCAAGAACATAAAATCGTGCAAGGGTCGATAGTAAATTAGCTCGGAGCAGTCATATCCCTTTAAGGAATAACGAGATTTCTCTACGCTCGTAATTAAAATCCGATAAGATACGAAACAAAAGGGAATCGCATCCTTTTTCAAGCCAGGTTGCAAGGAGGGTTATCTCGACCAACTTTTGTAAACGGCACAGGTAACATCTTACCACAACCGGCTTGCGGATATATCATTCGCAAACAATGGAAGGATTTCAAGGAAATATCTAATCATAATCTCATAGACAAACTTTTTAAGGCGATGAACAAACTCATCCGTTTTGTGATTTTTTTACTCTATTGTTGGGAGAATGTTAACTATGGCTATGAGTTAGGTGGAACCTGACTTTCTGAACTCGTTTGTTTATTATCTATTCTCATCCCGCAAAAACTGTACCTGTACTCTACTGTACTGAACATAATCTCCGACGCGATGGCATAAAAAGTGTCTATTTACGTGCATTTAAATAGTATTCGAGAGATAAGTCAAAACGGATTTTGCGAAGCTTAACTTCGGTGACGTGGACAACCGCTGTTTGAGTGTGAGTCTACAATAGTCCAAGGAGTTTTAAGTAGCAAAATAAAAAGTATACAGCCGCTGCAGAAAGCTCAGCTTTATTTACAATTACAGGGGTGGTGTAATTACACGGGTATATGAACACCAAGGTATCGGCATATGCGTTTGCGAGAGCTCGTTAAATTTTGATTTGTTGTGAAACCGACCGATAAATTCAGATCCCTGTTCATAAGCTGTTCACAATGGACTCCACGAGATCGCGTTACACAATAACCACACAAATTAGATTTTGTTCAAAGTCAAGCGCTTATTGTCGACATTTTGTTGTCACAGGGTGAACATATCACGATTCATTGAATAGGTGTCGGCCACCTTTGCGATTTTTTACCATTTCAGCTGGCGTGCTATTTATGCTACGGGTAAATACATTTTATTTATTGGCATAAGTTTTTGGTTTCCGGGACGTTTTGCGTAAATAGTATCTATTTAATGATCATGAGGTTTTTGTGATAGTTTATGTGTATTTTTATTACCGAATTTAAAAGCCACATAACCAGGCGGCAAATTATGATTAATCATTATTATATAGCTATATTTTAGAGATAAAACACGCTTTTTGCAGTGAAAACATTGTTTTTTGAGACATTACATAAAAAGTGAGTCTTTAAAAGATCAATTAAAATATTGTTAATTTCCTAATCAAATCTCCATGCCGTTTCCAAGTTTCATATCTTGTCCAAATGTAGAGTATTTTCCGCACAATCAACATTCCTCTTAAGCTCCTAAAGCGTTAAAGTCAAACCGGTCAAAGTACGATTTCACAGTGACGTAACGTAGCCGAAGATGCGACGATAAGAGGCGCGCGGGGTGCGGGGGGCGTGCCGCGCGGGCGCAGCCGAGTGGCCGCTCTGACCCCGCCCCGCAGACCACCGGGGTAGCTAGGCGGCGCTGCCTGGCTGCCCCGCCACGGTACCACGTGAGACGGGAACTTGTCCTTGCAAAATATTCTATGCTTCTAACTTCTAAATTATAATTGTTACAGAATCTATTTATGTTACACTTTCCAGGTACTCTCTTCTCATAGAGCGTTTTTTGCTTGAAGTTTCTTTTTTCTTAAAACATCTTAAAAGTGAAATCATTGCTGTTGCTTCTTTCATGATCTTATTCTTTCCTGATAAACAGTCAAGTATTCGTATGGTTTCCATTTTACTAAAAAATACATTCCAACCTGAAAGGAAGATTCAGTAGTCTTCAACAGGTTTGACTTGAGATAGTACGGTTGAACATAATTTTTATCAACACGATACGTTGATGCTAAGTATCCTAAGATACTAACAAAAACTGTTAACGAATCATGAATATAAAACCAAATTATGATGAGCTTGAAAGTATCCTTATCCAAACACAAATAATCATATTTGGCCAATTAAGTCGATGGTATTTATTTGCATAAAGAATATCGATAAGATGATGAACAGTCTTGCAAATGCCGAGCCACTGGCTATGATTCACGTGGCTGACATTGACTCGCTATAATAACTCAAGACGATTAATTCTGCACGACAAAAAAATCGAGTTACATTCTCTTGTATGGCAATAAATATTAAATATTCAAATTGCTATTCACTGAGCACAATGATCAAATCGATTTTGCATTTATAACGCTGAAACGTAGGCACTGTAAACAATACTCGTGTGGTCAAGAGAGGCGCACGAATTTTGAAAGGTGTTTGGTTCGATTCCCATTCATATAGGCAACGTTATAAATTAATTTAACATGGCTTATTAAGGAACGAATATATATATCGTTTATAATATAGTAATTTAATTAATTAATTACCAAGCAATGACAGAGATAAAATAATAACTTGTTTTTTACCCGACTGTGTGACGCAAAGGAGGGTAATGTATTTATCAGTCTATGTACGTATGTATGTATATTTGTTTCTATGTGGCGCTCTAGAGACCAAATGCATAGGCCGATTTTGATGATTCTTACGTCAATCGATTCGTCTTAACCTTGCGAGTGTCAGTAAAGACACGACGGTAATCAAAATTCACTACAGCGACAACCAGACGCCATATTATCAAAATGAAAAAAATAAAAATCTATGAACTATGTCAAGTGGGGTGTCGTTGAATAGGTATTTAAAAATCATCTTTAAATAATATTGTAGGATATATAACGATTTAAAGTTGTTTAACAAAACAATCTCGCTAATTTTCTTACTTATTGATTTAAATTTTACCAATCAAATCTTCCCAAGGGGCCCCGACTATGAGTCGTTCTGTTCTGTATTACTTAACAGAATTTTAAACTACTGGGCTTGTTTCTTTATTTTTAGTTTTTATTTAAGTTAATTTTTTCATGTATTTTTAAAATTCCTTTTTACGCAATCGGGGTTTTTGTTTTTCTTTAAATTATTTATTTTTTTATAAAGTGGACAGGAATGTTGTTTTTTAATTTTTTAAATAAGCTTAAATAGAATTATTGTATGAATTGTAGACAAACTAAATAAAAAAAAATAACTTAAACAGGGGGCATTTAATAAAATATAATCACGTATAGGTCTCAAAATTATATAGCATTTAAATAACTAAGACTGAATTTATAATGTAATGCGTATTTATGTTAAGATTACCGTGAGTTACTGATATATTACCTTGAAATTTATGTATGGCTATTGGAATAATATATTGTGGCAAATGATAATCCAGAGTTTGTGTTAGGGGTTAAATTATTGCGTGCCAATATTTTATCTACTAGTATTACAATAACTGTCCCACTCAATTACTTCATGAAGATTTATATGTTTTTAGTCCTTACATTTACTTACTTTCTTGGGAATTATATCATTACACCTATGACAGCTATAGTTATAATTATTTTAAATATCAGGATATTTTGTTTACAAGTTAACAGATTAATTACACATGTGATTTTAATAAAAAAGTAGAAGAATGTTGTCATATATGAAATAGTATCCCTAATATTAATTGCTGAAATTCCTTCTTAAAGACGTCCTGCAGATATAGCCTGTTTGGGGATTTGCTCAGTTTATTTAAAAGTTTTTTCAGTATTATATATTGGGGATAATAATTCATATTAGGTTACTTCCCTCTAATAAATAAGCTTATGAAAGTATCATTCGTATTTTTTGTGATGACGTGGATATTGATGATGCAAGAGTTGTCCGTTCTCTCAAGGAACCTGTGGGAACGGTCCCCAGCCGCAACCTTCCGGGATGTAACGTCTCGGGTGTCAGGGTGTTTTCGCACGCAAGCTTTAACGGTCACTCACGCTTCTTAGCTCTTTAAATATTGATGATATAAAATTATACCCACACAATAAAGTGTAGTGTTGACACTAGAACATCCTAACATAAAGTGTAAAACTTTAAATATTACCACCGTGCCCTATTAAAAAAGAACTACTTTAAAGAAATGAATTATTCAAGTTTGTAAATGAATCCCGATAGGAAATATCACTTTAAGTATTCTTGAATTTGATGATTTACTAGACAAATTCTTTTCCCAAGAATCTTAATTGAAATATTATAAACAAGCATATAATCAAATCACTACTTTTATATAATCAGACTACTTTTAAATAATGCTCGTACCGACGAATTAATAGGTATATATGAGAGTGTTAGCAAGTTTTATTATCTACATAAAAGACACACAGTGTAGACGTTTTTGAGCATGGAAATATCCTTCAATCGGCCGTTGGCTGGTCTAGTAGATCGTGACCTGACGCGGTCACCGGTCACGCCCCATTTACTGGGCCCCTGCCACTATGCTTCATCGCATTGTTCTACATTGCTTTTAGCACATTTTTCTCGTTTGCATACCAATGTTCTATAATTTAAAATAAATTAGTCAGTTTGACTTTCACGGCGCGTTGAAGTCTTTAAAATACGTTACAACATAATTTTTGTTTAGTAAACTTAAAATGTAACGAATTATATAAAAAAATATATATATTATAAATCGTCATCACTCGCTTATTATGGATATAAAACATTTTACAGATTATTCGGAAAAACAGGCGGAGTATATTAATTGTCAACTGGTACGACGCACGACACATCGCCGCGTGTTTCACACAATCTTCAACAAGCAATAAAAATTCTCATACCTTCATCAGTTATTAATAAAAAGTAGTTATAACTCATCACAGCTATTAATAATAGCATCTTTATATCACACATAAAAGACGGCCGAATGCTTACTAATGAAAACCAATTAATTGAAGTGATACAAAAACCTGGTATAGTTTTATTGACGGCAACATCATTGGTGCGATACTTTACTATTTTTATAATCTCGCCCCATTTAAAATGCAGTTAAACCATAAATTATTATCTCCTGGTTATATCGAAAGATACAATCGATAGTTAAAAAACCGAATAAAATTGATATATAAGCACCGGGATATAATAAATAAAAATTTCTCGAGGAATTCTTTTTACATATTACCAAGGAGGCACTTCGTTGACAAGATAATTTAATGTTATTCGAATAGGAAATTATTAACATTCTACTACTTTGTATTTTCAGCATAAAACAAGTTATCCGGTTTTAAAATGGAGTTCTTACATTTAAATTAAATAGAGATGTTGGTTAATTTCTTTCTGGGGAAAAATGAGTAATCTATCCCATTTTTATATGAAATCAGACAACAGATTTTCCACTTCATATTTAGAATATAATTTAATTTTCAATGATACAATTTAATATCTACATATATCTACTTCTTCTACTACTACTACTACTACTACCTATACGATATTTGATACTCATTCTAGATATTTCTAATGACAGTAGAAATATACAATACTATTATATTCTCCGCTTTCTTACTGTCACGGAACTCGTGCGCAAATCGAAGATTGTTCATACAACGTTAGCAGAAAGAGAGCATCGGGTCTGCGCTCCCGAGCCGGCCTTGACCACGAACAACGAGACCAACATACATACGTGCACTCCATCAATTATTCATAAACTCCAAATTAATACTAAAAGGCCACGCTCCAACAAAACACTGGAATAAATGAATAAACATTTAACAAATTGGCTGCGTCCATCGCGGCTCATTCGAAACAATGAACCATCTATCCGTATCTCTTTTGTTTTTATCACCTAAAAAGGGTTATCAAATTTCATAGATTTAGTAGCACATAATTTTACAAAAAAATATCGTGAGAATTTTATATTCAGATAACAGGAGGCGTGGCAAACAATTCATGAGATTATTACATATTTTTATAACTAACTTGTATTTGTGATATGAAAAGCAATGTTTCGATTAAAAATAGTAGAGGATATTACTTAAACTGAAGTTTATTTTAATAGTTTGTATAATTTATTGACAAATAGCAGGTTTTCAATTTTATAATAAGTACTAAATTATTTTCTTTAACTGTGAATAAATCAAATAATATTAATCTCTTGTGTATATGTAAATATATATATAGGCATTTAGCGTTTTCATGATAATGCGAAGTTTCGATCTAGTCAGTGTCACTTGCACTATCTGAATGATTTCAAAGGGTCAATCTGCAAAATTAATTGGAACTATGGGAGCACCGGAATGCCTCCGTAATATCTAAAAACTCACACATGCATATAAACACTCGTTCCTCTCATCGTTATGCCGTACACGTATATAGATATAAGTAGCCATTGAATCACCGGCGTAATTATAGAAGTGGGGGATTGGCTGCGATGCGGCTGTGTGCGACAAGGACAGACCATTTTAATAGGTCGGGTGCGAGAAGGAGAGACGCTAACAAGAGGCTTGTTCGTCCGTTTGATCGACACCGCCGGGGCGCGGGCGCGGGAAGCTGTCTGAGATGCATTCTTCTTGTAAAGTTCAACTATATATTTGGATCGGCCCATGGTCCCCATTGAACAGTTATGTGTACGTCACGCGATAATGACACTTGTACCCGGTATAAATTATTTAGGCCTATGTCAGCAAGTTGCATCTATTGAAGCGAAGTTTTAATTATAGTTTTTCATATTTTGCAAGAAGTATGAAAAATTATAATAAGACATTCAGTATCGATAATGTTGAGTGAAATAAAATTAATAACATTTCAGGACAACAAGCTATAAAAACAAAATATTGAATAGCAAATAAACCACCGTAGAAAAGACTTCAACGCGTCTCTATACTACGAAAAAATAGCATGACGGATTTTCAATTGCAGTTAATAATATTGCTATTGTGTAAATGTTATTAACTTTTTACTTTTACTGTTGATTTTGTAATACTGTTATAAAAAATTTTATTCTTTCCATTATATTATGATTTTCTACTTTTCTAGATTGTCTAATCAAAATGTATGACTACTACCGAAACATGTGTGTCGACATTGTTTATGTTTTCTTTCTGTTTACCCTACAAGGAACCTGACATGAAGAGACATAGATAGATTGTCCAAATTATAATACTGTTAGCGCAATGCTCACCTGTTTTGACAGAGCAGTGTATGTAAGAGCGGCTCCGATAGTAGACCCAGTCGAAGCCGGCTTGATACGCGAGCCGCGCCAGCATACCCACTTTGCTGGTGTCTCGGTCGCTTGTTGTAATATCGACCGCACGGCCCTCGTAATGTAACGAGTTGTCCCCATGAGAGTTTTCTTCGTCCCAGCCCTCGATGACCCGAAGATGAACACCGGGCCATTGATTCATCACGCTGATGGCCAACGTATTCAGCTTCTCTTTGCATCTCTGAAATTACAAGAAAATGTAAATGAAAATCAGACCATTGAATAAATGACATTCTTCTTTATTGGCACAAAAGTCAATACAGATGTTTAATTTAATCAATTAAATTATCAATGGAATAATATTTTGTAGATATATAAATAAGTAATTATCTCTAGTCCATCTAAAATGGACAAACATCTTGAGTAACAATATGAACACTTCAAACATGCGAAGCCTTTTGTTTGCATTTACTAAAGAAAATACCAATATATGTGCTAACAAATCGACAAACGCCGCCGCCCCACGACTAGACAACACAGGATGTCGGACATTCACTCGTGAAGAAATAAATCAAATTAAAACGCACCGCACGAAGGGATCGACACAATTTTGTTTCTGAAACTCCGCGGAACAAATAGAGGAAATGTCAAAATATTTATAAAGAAATGCGGACAATGCGGAGCTCACCGCGTGTCGGCTTTGTAGTCCAATGTCAACTCACTTTATGCAGATTTCGAAGATAAAAAAATGTGAGATTGACGTAACGAATCGTCACGAACGGGCGCCCCGCTTGCTCTTCGCATTCACGTATCAGATACCTTGAAGCACCGTATATAATTATTTCTACGAATGCTCCAACCACCTAATAAAGAGTTGGGTAGATCACAAAGCGTTGGATTCGCGCTAGTAATTCCGAATTGTTTACGGTATCTTTTTACCAAAAGTCCCTATTTTTATTGTTAGCTTTGAATAACGCACATATATTCGTAACAAGGTATTGTTGAGATTTTTACAATTGAAAATGATGTAGCAGCGAGCAGTTAGTAGGTGAGTAGATGCGTGTCTTTAGATGCCAGGGAGCCCAATGTTTGCTTCTCAGACGTCTCGCTGCGCACTAAAACAATCGAATGTTAAATGCAAGCTCAAACACTTCGTGCACTTAAACGTGGGAACCATCGGTGGCGCAATTAAGCACCTTACATCCATCATAGCCTCAGGGTTCTTACTTTTGTTGCTAGTACTGCTACTTTATTTTTTTTACATTTTCCATATTTATCTTATAGTTTGAAGGTTTTATTTTATATTTACTACATAGAATTAATCTATTTCGATATATATGTAAATAGATTGGGATAGAGCGAAGGCTTATTTATTTTTAGTGACGCGTGAGCGCGTCTCGATCGGGAACAAGGCGTCGCGACAGATCGGGCGGGCCATTATAAATTCATTATGCATATTTTTAGTAAACAAGCTGTCGATCACAATGCTCGAGCCCAGCGGGACGCCCTGCCCCCGACACCTCGCCGGCCTGCCCGAGCCCACGTACCCAGAGACGTCACGATTATCATCAACTGCTCGAGAGAGGCACCCGACAGTAAACCAGTTTCTATATCCTGACTCGATCTAAGTAAATTTATTTTCGCAAATTATCAAATGACACCACATAAAAGCCCATATTGTTTGACAAAAAATAACAAGCGAAACTAATACCTAAGGTCAAAGTTTTGAAGCGAAACGGAGAGCTACCTGAACCGGTGGCAACTATTGGAAACATTAATTAAGGCCGCCCGATGGAGGTACAGTAAAAATTGAATAAAAACAGAGGATTATTAAACTAAAACAGTGAATTTCTGTAATCTGCTTTGTTTGTGTGTGAGTATATGAAATATATATGCTTCTGTTATAAATCAAAGGATTCTGAACATTATCAAGTATAAATGGTAGGAAAATATATGACGGTTCGATATATTAGATAAGGCATTTAGCGAGCCGGGAACCATTCGCCACCTCACACGCCTCGACGCCCGCTAATTTATTACCGCCTCCCTCTGAGACCATAACAATATATTAGGATAATTAAATGGCTCTTTACATTCCTTAACACGTCGTTTTTTTACAAGGCCACTGCATTCGAAAAGCACCGACCAATGCTGACTGGTTTTTGATGTTCCATTTTTTTTCTCTTTGTGTAAACCACAACAAATAGTTTAAGGGCGGTTTTTTGTGATACCGACCGTTCATTTTGTTCACGCGAACAGTCTTTCGATCCTATATGGCGTAATGTGATTTTGGATTTCTCGCAAACATGTCAAAACAGCAATTATGGTAATGTGTAACTCGACGTGAGAATTTAAGTATTATCTTTCAAATAAAATAAAAAAATGGAAATATTGTGCTGGTCTTTAAATTTGTTCATAAATAAATTTCCATTTAAACATAATATAATAAACAATAAAATCCTTTTGTGTACATATTTATCTCTGCAATTAGGTATAATTATGATAATGGAAACATCCAATAAATTAAAATAAATGTTGGCAATGCAATATTAACTGAATAAAAAAGATCTGAAAAGGACCATTTAGGCAAACCTTGTTTTGGTTTAATCATATTTAGTTTTCTACCTGCAGAATAATGTGTTTCTAAAACGTGTGGTTGACTCGGATCTCAATAAGATTTCGGCATCGCAAAGTATAATTTCGGCCATTAATATACTGCCTGTGTGAGTAACATAATGTTTTTATGATACTGAAATATTTTGGATGTTTCTCGTATTGGTAGATGATAGTTCTGGGAGGGATCACCATACTCATAAAGCATCTTTCATTCACAAAATAGAAACCGCAATGGTGTGAATCAACGGCAACCATTTTGAATATTTTTCGAAGTCGGTGAAGCGCTTTCGTTTTCTTACTATAACAATTTGTCACACATAGTGACCAATATTATTGGGTCAATTAAGCAATTTCTATGTTAATTTATGATAATAATGAAAATTTTGGATGATAATGAGGTTGGCCGATAATTATGACATAATAATTACAATAATACCTTTAGAGTTTCGCTCAATCATAAATGTTATCTCTTACCTGTTATTTAATAGCTTTAAAATAAATATCCTTTTTTTTAAATATTTTCATTAAAATAAACTTTGAAGTAGGTTGACTATAAAGTTATAACAAAAATATTTCAAAAATTTATTTGGATTTCATATAAAAAAATGGTCGATAAAATTATTTCTAAAGTATATAAAAATTACTCAAAAATTTCTAACATTAATTTCAATAAAACACTGAATGCAAATATATCAAAATTAAAAATAGTTTTTTTTTGTTTATTTATTGATAAATTTTAATTCATATAATTGACGAATAGGTAGGTACTGTCAGAGATAAGTGCTCGCAGGTACACATGTCTACTTACCAATTCAATCTCATTGAGCTTTGTTTCGTTTGTCTTGTATAGAACGTACAGTTTCCGAACCTGTACTCAACAAATATTTGTTGACCATAAGCCCTAGTGTCGCGCCGGCTGTCGAACACATCATAAATATGCATCGTGAGGATGCATCACCTGTACTATGTGTGTTCAAAACCTCTTGATGTTTGTTCACGAAAAATATCACCCTTTGTTTTCTTAATGCGGATGTCTTCGGTACACCGCGCCACTGCATTCTCACTACATTCAGTTACCTACTCGCCTGGCACACTTTCCTAATGCACTCTCATTACGTTACACCCAATAATAACAGCCTTCAAGGTTCAACGTGAATTATAAAATGATTTCGTTTTATTTTAATATTTATGAACTATTGAACAGTACATGGAGTTCATTTTTGGAAATGGGTATACGCATAGACTTTTATACTCGTTTAATATTAACAAAATATTACAACTGATTAAATCCGCATATAAACAGAGATTTACGTTACTACAAGTTAAAAGTATAATAAAGATCGTATCGCCTTTTTCTATGCGGTCAAAATAGCTTTTTTGAGTCGCCCGCTATGTCGTGTGTAAAGACATGCTAACGAACACAATCCACAAGGCTTTTAAGGAGACGCATGCCTTTCACCCGTTCAAAAAACTTGAAACAAGACACCGATATGCGGTGCTTGCCTGCCACAGAGGTCTGTTAATGAAACGTTACACTTCATTCACTCAACTGGAGCAAGTATCTATACCATAATAGGGTTCGCTATACACACATAACTGTTTTAGGAATAGAAACAAACATTACGTGAGATTGCTTACAGATGATACAAAGGTCGAAGTTGGTCATTCTTTCATGTAAAATATTGTTAACTAAAACCGCTGACCACAAATATTTATTAAGTACACCCAAATGGTAATACAGTTCGGAATTCTTCATATTGAGCGTAGTACCAGGTGCAGAATCCTATTCACCGTCATTCACAATTCATTTGTCCTGATGTTAGATGATGCTAGACTGCACCCTAGGGAACCATCGATTAAGGCCGTGTTTTCTCTTCAGAATTTGTGTTAGGTGGTTAATGCCCACGGGACGGATGTAACTCCATTATTTATATTATTGTGATCACTAACGTCGGTTGACGCGGGGTCAATGGCGGAGTCAATGAGAGCATGCTCAGTTGTTGCAAGTCATCCGAAAGAGCGATGGAATCCACGCTTCCGACATCGATCAAATTATTATATACCCTTTGTTTTGTACCGATCAATTCCCAAACAAAATCAATCCGAAAAATTTAGCGTTGTACCTAGAACACTTACAGGTATAGAAACAGATGAGATAGTTAATAAGTTGTGGTAATTTACTGATGATAAGGTTAAAATTTATTAATTCTGATCAAGTAGTAAAAAAGTCTGTTTAAGAGAAAACTTTAAAGAAACTCGTCTATCTACACAATTACCCTTTAGTTAAAATGCTTTTCGTGCGAAAGGCTATATACATTAAGTGGCGTATAGTGTTAATTTACAACGTCAACCCTCGTTGAGTCGATAACTGCTTTTGATCGATTTGCATCTGTAATTACGTCACTTTTAGCAGGCAGGTGATGAAAACGCGACAAGTGCGTGATTGCGGGAGGTGCGCCCGCCCCTTCCGACACAACCGGTCGCCCGCTCGTTGCCGGCCGTCGCCGCCTTGTACTTAGCACGCCGCGTGATGCGCTTCGCGCGCCCTTAACTCGCTATCTTTACTATTCATGCTAAATGCTAACACGATAAATATTCATACAGTCATCTATGCTCTCGTTAAGG